TGATTGTAGAATTATAATTATTACTTTGTTATTGGTAAAAATTAAACAAATCAGAGGAATATTTCCTAAGATTCTTACAGGAAACGATGTAGATAAGTTTTGATATGTAAATTACATATTTTAATTTACATTTTTGTTTACTTTAAAAGCTAAAAAGCATAAAAATTAAATCAACATCTAATAACCCACTAACTTTTATTTACCGTGGGTTTCTGAGAACAAAAACCCCTATATAACGTTTTGTTATCTCTGTTCTATCAAAGATAATTACCGGGTTACCCTGAAGTACTAAGTACTAATACGTTTGATGCAGATATTTTGGTTTCAGAATCCAATGGTCAGTAATTTTATTTAAGTTAGTGGCTTTAAGTACTATCGTACTCCTCTATCTTATTGTTCAAGTTTTAAATTTTGTCATTGTTTCTTGACGTGCCTTAGCGTATTTGTGTTTAGTATTTGAGTGAGATTAAAGCACTTCGTAGCCTTAGAGATAAAATCAATTATAACTTCCTTACAGATTTAATCTGTTGTAATATTGCTATTTGTTTAACATTATAGATGCGGAAGAATTTTAAGGTTGATACGTTTAACAGGAATCGCCTTCATATCGGAGATGCATGCGTTATTCAATTGTTAAAATTCGCACGCAATGTGTTAACATTTGCTACAGTTGAAACTTAAAATTCGATTTGGTTGAGAAAAGGCAAAAACAAATGACAATCTTTTTCAACTCTTTTACTGAATTCTCGAATAAGGGCCACAGAAAGAGAACCAAGAGCCCTCTCTACAAGTCGACCGCTGACTTGGTGCTGACGCAAGACCGCAAACTGTGGTAGGTTTGGGAAAGACTTATGTCCAGCAGTTGGCAGACAAAGGCTGATGTTGATGATGATGATTGTGTAACAGAAATTTAACTTAAAATCACAAAACAATTTAAAACAACGAAGTTAACACCATTCATTATATAAAAAGATGAACCGTACGCTTTGGTGTAATTGCGGCCACATCAAGTCTTCTTATTATACGAGTCAAGATTTACTGCGTCGTTGGTTGGCTAAGTGTGTGAAGCGGATGTAGGATGTTGCCAAGGACGTGCGATTGTGCTGTCGTTGTTTTGTCACAACATGTGCCACTCGCCACTCGGCACTTCGCTCTCGTGTCTTTTTTTCACTACGGTGTGATATAGGACATTGAATTATGACGATATGTATATTAATTACTATGTAAGATAATATATTTCTATTAACGATCGTTCTATAAACGAAAACTATAAAAATGTCGTGAATTTTATTACCTTGCACCATCATCTTAAAAGTTAGTTTTTAACAGTTCACAAAATTGCTAAAAGATTACACAAACAATCTTTTGTTAGCTAACTTTTGGTGAACATTTGCGCAAAATAGTCTGGTAAAAATAAATCGTTGGAGGCAATAATAGTAGCGTGTGTCGTAGTTAATTCGTTTAGGGGCGACGTCTAGTGGCCGAATGCGGACAAATTAGATTTCCATCCGTGATGATGGATCGGAGGTGGGCACCGCTTCAAATCACGCATCGATTGCTAACTATGTAGCGCTACAATTGGGTATTAAATTTGAAAAACTTTATACTCAGTGAAAAACGACCTAATTATTGCTCTTAAAAGGATGGTGATTAGTGAATTCAAATTTAACACGTAAATAATTGGGGATAGAAATAATTTCTCAATATAATACAATCGTCAATAAATTCCCATTTTAAACTCGAGCAACGCTTCGTTATTCCTGTGGTCTTTTAGATGTCCATAGGCGTTGAAACTAATAGTATTAGGCGAACTACTATTGTATCCTCTCTTCTCGTCTAAAAATAACATCTATTTGATGTTGAGATCTTGATAATTCCGAGATAATCTATCAACTATCAATACTAATAGCTCTATAATTACACCTTTTTAGACAGCAAAATTTAAAACAAAGATTAAAACTTTAGCAATCAACGGATACCTACAATTGATACCTCATAGCATTTAGCAGTTCCCGTAGATAATTTGATGCAGGATATAATAAAAAAAAGATAATACAAGATACTGTTTTGATAAGAAGTGACATAACTAATACTGCCACTAAATTGTATAGCTACAAAATTGTTCATAACATTCGTGCAATAAAATGCACACTTGACTTTGTAATGATATTGTTATCAGGTTTACCGGTTACCTTTTTATAGCTTAAGATAATATTTAAAAACATAATTTTACTCCTTGAATAGTAGCGTGCAATATTGGTGATCCCGGAATCATTATCTATTGCACTCGAGTTTGGTAGGGGTTTTAGTGGGTTCCACATAACCCTGTGTTCTCCCTGAACGCAGGATATCTGTGGAAGATTCCTGATAGCAAAAGAAGGAGTATTTGTACATATATAAAGCAAGGTAAGCTTTGACTAACAGAATATATCTTTAGAAAGAATTAGAAAAGCTTCAGACATTATTATTCCTTGATTGTTGAATAGCATTCAATAAGTTAAAAAGAAAGAGAGAGAGAGACTACACTCGAAAATATAGAGAATTCGTCCCTATTTTAATTACACAAAGTTTCAGTCTACAAAAGCTTCTTACTAAAATATCAAAAACAAAATAAAATCACAATAATACAGATTACGGAGGGCAATTAATATTATAGAATGAGCAAGAGAGAACGGCCGTAATCCGAGTTGCCAATAATTTGTCCGGACGCAGCCGAGACATCTGATCCCGAAGGTAATCGGATTTAGCTGATCGAGCACCGACTGTTATTGAATTTCCTATTATTTCTAAGCACACAATACTCTTTTAGACATTGATTTTTAATAGTGCATATGAAACTATGTCGAATACTTTCTTTAAAGCGGAATGAACTTCATTGTTTACTAAGTTATAATAGTTCTTAGCTCTTCGCTACTTTCTTTGTCTCATTTCACGGACTTTAACGTTTTTTCTTTTACTCTATGATTAGTTAAACATTTTGAACTTATAATTTTTTCTTTGTACTCTAAACTATGCGCGACAGAAGTTCATAAATAAAAGCTTAATTGGATTTATTCCACTTCTTTAATCTACCAGTAAAATGGTGTAAAACAACAATCGGGAGGTCGAGTGCACTCAAAGGGCGTTGCGGCGGTCGCGTGCCGGCAAAGGGTCCACGAAAGCCTAACAGGGCCCACAGCCTACGAAGGGCCACAAGGGTCTGTGTCAGCGCGCGAGGGGCCAGAGACCCGCGACGGCAAAGATGATCGCGGCGGATTAGTGTTACGATGTTATTGTCTCGACCCGTCGTTCAATGGGGTGTTTTGCCCTTTTTATATTGTTTTTATAATTGGACATCCCTGTTTCGAGTCTCTTGTTCATCAAATACGGAATTTTTGATTATGTGACTTCGTTTTTTTAATCAATTAACAATTATTTTTGAATACAAAAACCAGTCCGTTTTTGTTTGTTTTGCGTAAATTTTTATTTTGACAGCAAAATTGATAGAAGAATTTCTAAAGCAATAAATTGAAACGTAACAATGATGTTAAATACCTTACGTTTCTAAAGTTCAATTCAAAGAACTATAATAACTAAAAGTGGCTACATCTAAACGTTCATTTAGAATTACAAATGCAGTTCACAGAAGGCTCTTCTAGTATCCACAATTGTACCGTCTGCAGAGCAAATTGAAAATTAATATTTCGTCTGTATCGATACTGGCTCCTTTGTCGATTGTCTGATGCAACGTAAGTTAAGCCTTTGATCAATCAGAACTCACTTCGGAATTTCACTTCCTCCTTCAATTTTAGGGAATGCATTATGGTCTTTCCTCTGTATTATTTAGCTTACTCTGACTAATGTTATAAATGCGAATGTCTGGATGGATGGATGTTTGTTAGAAGGTATCTCCATAATGGCTGTATATATCTCGCTGAAATTTGGCATATGTAGATCATAATGTAAAAGGCAGACAGGCTAGAACGTAGAATTAAGTTTTTTTTTAATTCTAAGCGGACAGAGTCGCGGGCGACAGTTGGTATATAATGTGCTCCTATTTATTTAAGTTTAGTGATAATTTTCTACTGCATTTTAAAAGAGCGTTAATTCAATAATGCAATCTTTTTAACATTTACAAATCTAATTATTTTTGCTTTCTTGGCTTTATCAGTGTAAAATTGAGCTTAAGAAATTTACCCAAAGTTTTCAACATTATGTTTCAATTTCTATAACGAATAAAATAAAGCATCTTGCTTATGTATGTATTTTTTATATATTATATAAAAAACTGAAAGCTGTACATTAACAAATAAATACGCCAATTTGACAAAAAAGACAGCTTAATAATATTTCAGAAAGTGTTGCCATTGTACAAAAGTTATTACGGGCACTGTAAAAATATAATAAAAAAAAAGAAATTGTAGTTTTCCGTACAAGACATTAGATAAAAAATAAATTGTATTGAGGAATTGAAAATATTATTTTTACTTTAATTATCCTCATTATTGACATTATTCATGTAGTTATTGGAAAAAAACAGTTCTATAAAAATTACAGATTATAAGTTTATAGAAAAACTTTTTAATATTTGCAGTTCAAAAACAGATGTAAAAATTTTTATATTTCAAACATAATTTTTAAGAATTTTATCATCTATAGAATATTTTTTTGATACTCAAATAGTTTAAGATTATTCATTAACTTTCTATTAATTAAATTTTACATAGTTAAAGATATATTTTTCGTGTAATAAACCAATATTTTTCTGTTGTATAAAAAAAGGTTCTAATCAGAATTGTTTTTTTTTTGTTATTGTTGCAGAAGAAAACAATAACAAACTGTAATAACGACAATAACTCCATTTACTATGCTATGTGAAATTTATCAATCCAATCTTTTCTTACTTGAATTTTATGCCGAAATACTAAAAAAAAATTATCTCCGTTTTTTTAAACAGATTGGATGATAATTTATCTATCTATGAGCAATGGAAACTATAAATGAAAACTTAAGTAAATTACCTTTTGGAGTAACAACTCTGAAAGCGCTGTTTGACACCGGCCTCGGAGATTCTTCTCTCAAACCTCCCCCTGGTGAGCCGCTGTCATTCCGTACCATAGAAAAGTCCAGTGGCATCGGTGGCATTGCACTAACTTCCATTGTCAATGTTTATGTTTAAAAAAAAAACAAAAAAAGTTAAAAAATCATCTGTCACTTTTTTGGAATGTTCGGATATTTGCTGTAGCATAGACGTGTAAAATAAATTAGTTATTGGAACGTTCGGATACGTTTTGTCGAGGGCGCATTGCGTGCGGCCGTCGCGGATCGCGGGTATATATTAAGGCGAGTATCACACTCGGCTGGCGTTCATTCGGCTTTCTGGTCGCTAAAGCCGAATATCTCGAGGCTGTGTATAGTGATTTGGACCTTATCGGTGCGTTAAGTGGGCGTGGTGTGTGACGCTCCGCCTCCATCCGTCCCCCGCCGACAAGTGACAATCACTTTGTATAGGTAACAGAATAATACGATTCTCGATAGATTTTATTGTTCCGCCGATGCATTTGTTCGAGACCAATTCCAGTACAAATGTTGTATTGGACATTTCTTCTTGTTGGGTGTGTCAATGCTAGATTGTATTGGAATGATTATTAATAAACGTGGGCGTTGGATTAAAACTTAATAAATGCTTTTGTTATTTATGTGTATGTATATTTAAATTAAATAACATATAAAAAAATTGTTTTATTTTTTATCATTGACGAATGTTCTGATTATATCTAATCCTTTATTTAATAAACAACTCTTTTATAATGAAATGGAAATAAGAAAAAATAAATATTTAATTTAAAATTATTAAAATATGAATAATAAAATAAAACTTTAATTGCACAAGGATATATTATAAAATCAACATATTTAAAAAGATTAAATAAAAAAAAGGAATGTGTAAAATTATTGAATTTTTTCAGTTCGACTACTATGATAAGGATTTGACAGTTGAGTTAAGGAAATTTGAATTTTTTAACAAGACAAGCCAATATAGCTCTACCCCGAAATCGAACCAGTTAATAAACGAGTAGGTTTTTTTTTATATCATAAGGTGGCAAACGAGCAAGCGGCCACCTGAAATCGCTGAAACAGCGAAGTGAGCGTTGTCCATAGACATACGCAATTGCATATGCGTTGCTTACCTTTAATCGACGGAGGAGAGGATGCACAGAAAGAAAATATCTACCCTTTCCATGCATCCTCTCATCCGGAAAGTCCTCTTCCACTTCCCATCCTTTTCTTATAAGAAAAAGGTTGAAAAGTTTTTACGTGATTGAACAAGAAATTTATTTAATTTTCATAATACATTCTAAAGTAGTATCCCAGGCCAAATATTTCGCTAACATGATGTATTCTCTTTGCTCAGAACGAATTTAACTTGTTTAATTTTCTGTCTGCCTGACTGTCTGCAAAGCCACGTTTGTTCCGGTTAATCTTAGAAACAGCTGTAACGATTTTGGCGGGACTTTTACTGTAAGTTAGCTTACATGTGCTGGTGTAACTTAATCTCTTTTTAATTAATAAAGTTAAAAAATAATAAATAAAAAAAATATGCTAAAGTAATTTGTTTTGGATAGAAATATTGTTGCAACGCTCTGTTCATTTCATGAGGTCAATTGGAATGAAATTCGATGAGATTATGGGTTGGGATTACGTCCGAGGAATTAACAGCACCCCCCGCTCCCCGCTTCACTCGCTCAGCCACCCCCCGCACCCTCTGCAGTTGCGTCACGTACCGACATTTAAAACAATGAACGCCTCAATTTTTCACCGGCGGCCCCCGAAATATGGCGCGCTAATCCGACCTGCACCCTTATTCTGATACTGCGATCTGCGATCTGGGGGAAAACGCGATATGAATACGATGCAGCTCATATACTGACTTGAAAAAGTTAACGGATATTCAAGGTTTGGTAAATCTTCAGATAATCAATAACACCATAATGAAATTGAATAAGATGAAATGATTTTCTGACACTTTACCTACTTGTTTCGTTTATCGACGCGCAAAATGAACACCTAATATTTGGTTATAGAAGTTACATATATGTTAATAACATTTCTTGTGTGAAATAAGGTTTATATAATTAGTCAAAAAATGTTGAGATCTCTAAATAGTATTGAATATGAGTCTCAGCCACCTTGCAAGTTGGAATGTATCGCTTAACCAGAATAAGGAGATCGGCTTGCTTTGCGAAAACTAATTACACCTCCGCTTCGCAATGATAAAGCAAAGCCGTCGTATAGGATATTTTTATTCGGGACAAAATGAAATTCCCTTACCATCACATTTCATTGAATTTTTAACTTTAAAAGTAGAGTAGTAAAGTGCATTATTGTACTTCTAATATCGAGTTCAGTCGAAATTATGGAAATTTTTTAGTATGTACTCAGCATAAAATAATCCTAGCATAATCTCGCTCGCAAATTCCATTATTTTGATCATAGCCTCAATTGTAGCGGCCCCTGGCGGCGGAGAGGTGAGACTCGGCCGCTTCGTATGGAAATCCTATTCGTAATTTTTCGATTTGGACGTTTGATTTTTAGGGGATTTTCAACAGTAAAATATTTATACGATCGGCTTTGATTAAGGTATGAAATTTTGGATTACGTGATTTTGTTGAATATTTTCTATGTTTACTAAAAAAATAGACTTTGAAAGAGGTATATTATTTTGTATAGGGAGTTACCGTAGGTTTCTGAGACTACAATCCACTTTTAAAACATACTGTTTTCTCTGTTCTGTCGATGAGAATGACTATTTTTTGTAGAGAGATTATGGTCTCAGAAACCCACGATTAGAAACCTACTTTCAGAAAACTTTAAAATTTTAAAGAAGTAAAAGTTTAAAGACTTTCAATCAAATCTTCAGTTAATTTCTAGTTATAAATGTAGTTTACGTCTAGAGGGAATAGTCTACTTTCTCAACAGGGAAAGAATTTTTCAAATCGGTTCAGTTTCGTACAAACAAACAATCAAATCCTTCCTATTTATAATATAAGCATAGATAATAATTTCATAATATTATTAAGTAGGTACAGAAGTTATGACACCTCTACTCATAAGATAAAAGAGGTAAAATAAAATTAATACTCGTACTTTATAACAGTACAGCAGCAATGGTATTACTACAGAGTTGTTGCTGAATCCTTCATTCATTTTAACACCCTTTAAAATGTTGTGATCAAAGATCATTTGCGTGCAAACGGCCAAACACTGTATATTAGAAGCACCGAGCAATTTTATTCATGAATATAAACACAAACAGCTTATTAAACCAACGGTTAAGTTAATCGAGGTTAATGTTTTCCAACTATAGTACAAGAGACGACACGGTATCGATGTGCAACGCTTTTGTTCATACGCCAATACTTGTTGTAACTTATTTTTTTTTAATAAGATATTTTTTTAAATACGAAACAAAATCCTACTAATATTATATCTGTCTGAATGGTCCAACCATTGTTTGTGAGAAGGTATATCTCAGGAACGGCTGCATAGATCTCGCTGAAATTTAACTCCAAAGTAGAACACAGTCTGGTAGAATACATAGGCTACTAATTATTTTTTTCCGAGCGGACAGAGTCGCAGGCGACAGGTAGTGTTAAAATATATTTTAGTTGGAACACAGTGTCCGACACAGAAGTCCGTGTTGAGATAAAGAAACAGTCAGAGGTGGGAACCCGCGCTTGTATTTCGCACACTGCCTTAATTATACCGACTTAATTAATACAAAACATTAAGTTTTGGGCCACGAAACCAGCGAACTCAATAAGGCTCAAATATTCTTAAAAAAAGAGGTACAAGAGTACTTTATTCCAACATACATACTATGGTAACATATTAATTATAATGCCTTGAAAATTTATGGCTTATTTAATATATAATACGTCTCCGAAACAATCTGAGCTTTAAAAAATAGGTGGGACAAGAAAGTAGGGAATGGCCCTTAAGATAATAATTAAGATTATTTATTTTCGCCTTATTTGCATTATTATATGTAACATTTGATATTTACGAGGCTTGTTTAAAAACCAGAAGTTCGTGTGCAATCGCTAATTTCATGGCCCCAAAGATTATTCTAAAAGCTTAACAACAAGCAGGTAGTTCGCTATCAAAAATCATTTGGCTCTCGCCCCCGCCTCCGCCCCGGTCTCGGAGCCGCTTCACGAAATTACTCCGCGCTTAATATTTACTTTTAATTCAAAATTTTATTTCAAACGCCTCTCGCTATTTCTGCGAGCGTTTCTCGTTATTTGTTGAATTTATTTAACTCTATCGTTTCCCTTCCTTGTATTATTTTAACACGTCGAAAGTGAAATAAAGGTGCCTTTATTGTGGCCTTTAAAATAAAACATTGTACTGTTATAAATAACACTCCATCAGGTCTTTTAAAATTTGTTAATAATTCCGTATCAAAGTAATTGAAGAAAAAAAAATACAATGCATGTTTCATGATAACCTTATATCGTTGTGATGAACGTTACAAGTAATGAAGCAAATGCGAATGTCTATGACCAACGGTCGTTTCGCTATTTTAGCGAATTAAGGTGACAGTTTACTAAAAAAATATGCAACATTACTTAAAAATCCTGCAAGTTCGTAAAAAAAAACTAATTTCGTAGAAAAAACTTTAATTGTTTTTCTCATCAAAAGCTTTTACTGTTGGCAACCCTTGCGGTGTTTATTGAGGCGAATTAAAGTTAAAATAAATACGGGACCCGAAACAATTTGCATCTAGATGTGACATTAGACCGTCCGGTTATCTTTTAGCGAATGTAACGACGCTGACCGACCGACGGTCAAATTACAGACAATCGCGTTTGTACGGAGCGAAAAAGTGCCCCTCATTGTTTTAACTGTCCTATGTACGGACGAATTTAATTTGGCTTTGTGTTTTATGCGGGTAGCGAAGGCCAATTTCATTTTCTTCACAAATTGTGATTATTTTTAGAATTTTTATAACATCATACTGTATCTTTTTTGTTATGGAATAATTCTAAACGCTTTCGGTAATTGTTATGATTTTTTAAAAAAATTACTTTAGAAAACCTAAACTTCTTTAGTCGCTTCAGCGTCTAAAGAAAGCTAGATTGAATTTACTATTGCCTTGCTAACAAAGACAATGACAGTGCCTAAACCTTGGCTTACCATGCATCTTATAAATCACCAAAACTAAAATATTTTTGTCGTATTATCGTTTAAAATTTAAAAAGATAACGATTGTAATTTAGCTATTAAAATTTTAAATTTGCAAATACAATAATGTT